TCCATCCGAATATCTTGACGACCTCTAGCTATCTCTTGCTTTAGTTTTTGTTGAGATTTAAAGTGGTATCCGGTTTAATATTATCCCGGTAGACACAATCCCAACAGTCGTGCCTGGGATGGATCAATAATATTTTGGATTTTTCCTCAAGTGATACCGGAAAGTTAGTTCCAATTGATGGAATAATGAACTTTGATGTTTATATATCGATTTTGAATGGAGACCTGCAAACATCCGCTCGGATTTTGGTTCTTGGACGACCATGGATCTTTCAACAAAATAATGATTAGAAACATACATACGTCGGAAGCTGAACGACCACTTGGCTTAATAAAACGAATGTCACTGTTATGCCATGGGTTACCTCGCTGGGAACAGACGTGTTACCACGCTTAATATATCCTACTCTGACACTTCCAACTCTTCCTATAGACGATTTTTTTTCAAAAGCTGTTTTGCCCACAAACAAAAACCGTTATAGCAGGCATAATTTCATCAATTTTAATCCAGCAAAATGTGAACGATAGTCTGAATTATCATTGTTTGAATTCTTCTCCTAATATAATTTAACGTACTAATATCAGAAATCGTGAGAATTTGCGTAAAGCCGTGTATTTTGAAGTACATTTCTCACACACAATTACCCTAATGTCACTAATATCCAGAATTTTTTTCCAACCAATATATCACGAAAAAATATAAAATATTAAATCGCACTTATTCGTCGAAGTTCTGTCCTACCACTAGAACTAGCCAGTCAGTTTAGTTAAGTTAGACCATCACCAAGAGCCGTACGATCGAAAATTGTTACTAGTTGGTAACTCTGTCAGCCAATCACTGACGACTTTTCAACCTAAACCCACCAATCACAGACGAGAAATGGGCCGCTACGTGTACTTAAGCCGCTACGTGTACTTAGGCCGCTACGGATACTTAGGACGCTACGTGTACTTAGGCCGCTACGTGTACTTAGGCCGCTACATGTACCTAGGCCGCTACGTGTACCCAGGCCGCTACGTTTACCTAGGCCGCTACGTGTACCTAGGCCGCTACGTGTACCTAGGCCGCTACGTGTACTTAGGCCGCTACGTGTACCTTATAGGCCGCTACGTGTACCTAGGCCGCTACATGTACTTGGGCCGCTACGCAGGTTTTGATAGCTCTACCCCAGGATTCTTCCACAACCAAAAATTTGCATACAAAGCTACTCAGCGGCTGCTGTATGTGCAGTGCAGGCTGCGGTTACGGTATCATCAATAAAGTTCCTCATGAACAATTCTAAGTCTTGCCTGTATTATCAAAACCTGCCTCACTTCTTCCCTACAAACTCTTGCATTCTTCTAGGCAGAACGAATGAGATAATTATTGATATTTTAACCCTAATTGTTGTAATCAAGAAACTATTTCATCACCCATGGCTGCTAATTCTATTTAATTTTTGGTTCAACAACGCATTGGTTTTGTTCATGTTTTGCTAGCTATTCAATTTAAACTCGCCGCTACAGTACCTATATTCAATTAACTATTTATTACCTTTACGTGGGTAGGGCGAATTTAAAAATCAGTATTACTCGAGTATCTTAAAACTTTCAACATTTTTCGAGGCAATATTTTTCATACAGAATACCCTATTTGAGTACTTGAATGAATTCAGGATATTCTGGTCTGTTATATTCAGACATTTAGTATTATGAATGTCTTAGAAATGAGTAAACATTCAAGTTTTCCGGTGAAGATGGTATCATTATTCATACTTTATACGCCAAGCTTCCGATATAATAAGAAATTTCTTAACTGATTCTTCAAGCCGACATCATTTGACTAAAAATTTTAATGTCGCTGACGGGTTTAAAGACGGCGAATGTCGGAAGAAAAGTTAGCATAATTTTTCTCGGTAAAATTTAAACTTCACTCAGAGCATCCTCTCCTCATACACTGATAAAATTTATGGGTATACTGTCCAAATATTGACACGTTTCTTACACCCTGCACGTGAAAAAAAAACGAAAGTAACACTGAAACGCATTTTCTCGAGAAAAGTCCATCGCTATTTCAACAAAGCTTCCCTTATTTCTTTGAGTGTTGAGTCCACAATGTTTGCAGAGTTCCGTAGCTGAGAAAAAGTTGTCTGCTTTGCACAGTACATCCTATGTGGTAGGTTCCTTTCACTAAAAAGTCTTTTGTGTAGAACTTAACCTACCTCAAGGTACGTTCTGATGTTGCAGGCACTAGTCATCATCAATATGCATGTCTATGAATGTGAATAAATGAGTTTACGACGCTTGATGAATTTAAATTAGCATGAATTTCATGATCTTACCTAGGGTGAATCATCGATTTATCATAACGATGACAGGATTAGTGGTCGTGTATACTGAGAACTGTTCGGAACACAGTGTAGTTTGTCATTGTAGTCTTCGGATGGGAATTAAAAGTGGACTTTCATTTATTCATGAAGCACATACAGGTCCAAGTAATCTGTCATTGTAGACTTTCCATCACTTAGGATTGACAAGTAGTTGTTTAAGTTCCCTTCTAAGTTACCTTCACTGCTTTGTGCAGAATCTTTTACGTCAACATGAAAGGCTTGACAAGAAAATCCTTCTATGATAAACTCGGCACTTAAAGTTTAACCCACGCCATTTTTATATTTTAAAGGCATTTAGGCATTTATAGGCATAAATTTCAAATATAGGCACTTTCATACTTCAAAGTTCATCCCAAAACTACATAAGCATTTTTATTTTTAAAGTTCAACCCAAATGTATATAGGAATGGTTTTATTTTAAAGTTCAACCAACACCTAAATATGCATTTTTACATTTTAAAGTTCAACCCAAAACTACCTAGAAATTTTATATTTTAAAGTTTAACCCAAAACTACATAGGCATTTCTATATTTGGAGCTTTAAACAGAAGATCGAATTAATCGTCTTTCATTATAAACAATGCAAATCACTCTGGACATTCCAAGGCAAAAGTCTAAAACTTTACCTTACTAAATTTTAACTAATATCTGCAACGATCCTACGGATTATTCATATTTTCTGCAGCCATTGCTAATGGTGCAAATCCATTACTTTCACCATATTCTTTTCAGGCACAGTTCTCAACCGGAGATTTCATGGTTATCTCGCATTAGTTAATAGCGTCGAATACATAGATTTTATGTAAATTAATAACCTATTGAAACTATTTTTTGTTAAATTACGAATAATATTTACGTTAATATCGTAGTGCTGAATGTCCACAAATTTTCCGAGTATATTTTATCCATTACGTCATAGGGAAGAATTTTGAGTGTTTAGGAGCTTTGAATTTTGCTCGGTTTGAATTTTATTCGATTTGAACTTTGCTCGATTTGAGTTTTGTTCAATTTGAAGTTACTCAGTCGATTTGAATTTTGCTCGATTTGAATTTGTTCGATTTAAATTTAACTGGATTTGAACTTTTCTCAATTTGAATTTTGCTCGTTTTGAATTTTGCTCGCTTTGAATTTCACTCGATTTGAATTTTGCTCGATTTGAATTTTACTCGCTTTGAATTTCACTCGATTTGAATTTTGCTCGCTTTGAATTTCACTCGATTTGAATTTTGCTCGATTTGAATTTTGCTCGCTTTGAATTTCACTCGCTTTGAATTTCACTCGCTTTGAATTTCACTCGCTTTGAATTTCACTCGATTTGAATTTTGCTCGATTTGAATTTTACTTTGAAGTCGTCCTGAAAGAGTTTAGCTCGGCAAAATTATAATGTCCACTTTCCTTATACATCCACGCATCTAGAAATACATTAGAAATATATCTTAAACAAAATTTAAATTTATTATAAAAAACTTACTTCTGTACGAAACGTATAACGAGAAATATATAAATTTGAATAAGAAACTGTATAAATTATACATTGGTTGAAAATCAATTAGCTCTCGGTATATATATATTTTTTATAACATTATTGATAAATTTTTTTGTTATTTTTAGGCTAAATGTATAAGTGAGGAATCGAGGAATCCATAATTTATTTCTCGTTCCCATTCATGACCACATAATCTTTTATCTGTTTAATAAAACGTGCTTCTAAACCAACGCTTCTTAAAAGTCTCTATATTAACTAAATGACCTAAAAATGCTACTGCGTTATTATTTCTTTATAGCATGCTTTATCGCTTTATTATTATTTATCCCTCATTTCATCTTACCGAATCTCTTTATCAATATTTATCCCCCATTTCATCTTACAGAGAATTAAATATCAATTTCATAGCCAGGCAAAGACCTCGTATTTTATCAGTAAAACAAGCGATCGTCTAGTGCTCCCGCCGACGTGTTAATGCATAGCTTACAATTTTTCCTATCATGAACTACCATAAAAAATACCCTACTCTTAACTGTCGGATTTTACTTATATCATGTACCTTAAAAAAAATACGGTCGGCCGATAACAGGCCGGCGAAACCGCGGCCATAATTTAATGTTGCGTCGGCAAGTGATCACATAACTTTAAAAAAATACGGTCGGCCGATGACAGGCCGGCGAAACCGCGGCCATAATTTAAAGTTGCGTCGGCAAGTGAGAAGCAACATTTGAACTCGAACTTAAGTGCTAATGGGCTCAAGTTTGATCGCTGGTAGCGGGGGGTGCCATGCTCGCTGCCATGCGCTTATAATAAATTAAATGAACCTCTTAAAATAAATTAAATGAACCTCTTAAAATGAATTAAATGGACCTCCATAAATCCATTAATGGATCCTAATCGAACGCTTGATCAGGACTCGTGTCATAGGACGCTTAATAATGTACGCTGATCACCGTCCTGCAGAGTGGTGCTGCAGAGTGGTGCTGCAGAGTGGTGCTGCAGAGTGGTGCTGCAGAGTGGTGCTGCAGAGTGGTGCTGCAGAGTGGTGCTGATGCTGCAGAGTGATTTTTTCTAAGTTTTTTTTCGAAGAAATAAGAAAAAAAACATAATTTCCTCTCCTAACTCACCCGCTTTTCCCCCGTGCAGAGTTTTACATACGAAGAAATAAGTGCACCCAACGGGGGCAGTTCTGCACTGATCGGCTCCGATATCCGCACCGTGGCCATCGCTAACTCGTCCCCCAACCCCCAGCGGATGACCCCCTCCCTCCTCGCCCACAACCCCTCCACACCATCACCCCTCACCACCACCACCGTCACCACCAGACCCTGGCCAGACTATGACAGACATCATGAAGAGAACGATAATAAGATTCAAATTCCTAAAATGTGAGCATTAATTTATAATTTATGTATTTTTTATTTAATAAATTAACAATATTTTAATTTGATTAATTATTTTTGGTTTTCAGTATTTAATACGAGTAGTTAACTTCTTAAAATTTCAGCACTAATTTTTAATAGTTATTTTTAATTGTGGTTAAAATTAACAGTATTTGATTTTTTCAAATATACTGTACTATTGCCCCGTAAAATTAGAGTACACCTTGTAGTTAATTTGAATTGGTATTTAATTAAAATACCGAGTAAAATATATATATATTTTTAACTTGTAGCTTGTGTCGAAAATGGATCCTCTCTTAAACTTGTAGTGAACTTTAAATGTCTTAATCTTATTCAAGTTCTCTATCTAAAAAACTTTCAAATATTAATTATTGACTTTTAAGTCAATTATGTTTCATTCTCTCAGGGCTGCGAGTTTGTGTATGATTATTTTCTTTTAAAAAATTAAAGATTTTTTTTCAAGTGAATTCTCATTCATACTAATTTCACGAATTTTAATTTGAATATAATTGTACAGGGAAATTCAAATTTTTTTTCGTCGAAAGTTTTCTGTTCTCGTAGCTTTATCGTTCATAATTGTTATACGGGAAATTTTATGAGTTTTTTTATCCTTTTTCAGTCATACCGACGATGACAAAATTCACATCCCTAAAGCGTGAGTAAAATTTTTCAAACATTTCATTTTATTTTATTTTATTGCATAATTTTCGCACCCTCATATCACACATACTGCGATAACTTCATCATATCTTACATACCAAATTAAAAAAATAACTAATATATAACTTGCTTGTTTCTTAACCATTTATGAAAGCGCTTGTGCAAACCATTTCTTTTCTTACTCATACTTAATGTATTAAGTATGAGGCTCTGATGTTTGTAATAATACTTCATATTCTCATACTTCATATATGAGTACATACTTTATGTACTCATACCTCATATTCTCATACTTCATATATAAGTACACACTTCATGTACTTATACTTCACGTAGACTCTAGTGTTTTTATTTTCAACACTGTGCCTTTTGTGTAGTTTTTTCTTACATTATCCTGCATGACCTGCCTGGACATGAATGATTTAATTTTTTTATTTTCGTCTTTAAAATTTCGTAGCTATTAACTTCGCATGAATTTACTTACATGCCTGCATGAATGCCTGCCTATAAATTCATTTATTCAGTCTCCCGCTCATTTATTAGGTTATTGAAGCGCTCATTTATTATTTAATTAATATAAGCAAAGGAGCCTCGAGTTAACGAGCAATTTTGGTGCACAATTATTGTTTGAACAATGACACAAATATTTTTCTGAGTGTAATTCATTCAGAAAAATGACTGTGACATTGTCCAAATAATGATGCACATTTTTCTCTTGTGTTGGTCATCCTGACCCAGTTTTGCCCGGCAAGAACGCGCATCAGTGCTACATGTGTGAAAGAAAGTGTCTCAGTGTTTGGACAAATGACCCATTAAAAAAAATTAATGTTCTGAATATTGTAAGAAAATTTATTTGTATTATATTATATTTTTATGGTCACACAAATGTTGCAATGGTCAACTAGCCAACATCTTCATTTAGCTTTGAAAACTGCGTGTAAAAATTATTTTTTACATTCAATCATTTGACTACATATTCCATTTTAAATTTTTAACAATTTTAATACTTTTTTCATATTTTTATTTGTTTCGGCAATGACATGGCATTTTATAATATCTGCTATTTTGATAACTGCTAGGATGAATTTCATAATTAAACATAACTATAAATTATTCAAGTATTGATTAGATAAGATTACCGAGCGAGTATCATTATAAAATTAATCATAATATCACAATAACCTTCCCTGCCTGACGACTTTGCTACGCGCGAGAAAGGAACATATTGTTCCTCATGTCGTAAAGGATTTTTATTATGAGAAAGTTACGCCATGAGAAAACATGTGCGACCTGCGCCATCTTTGACCTTTGTCGTTGTTTGACTTCTATTCGCTGAAATGGGATATTGTGTAATGTATACTGTATAATGTATATTATGTAATCAATATTGTATGATGTATATTGTATAATATATGTATGTAATATATATAATATAGATGAATATTGTGTAATATATATTGTATAACGTATGTTGTGTAATATATATTGTACAACGTATTTTGTGTAATATAAGTTGTATAATTTATATTATATAATGTATATTATATATTGTGTAATGTACATTGTATATTGTATAGTGTATAATGCATAATTTGAAAATATCAACTAAATTCTTAAGCCTAATATCGGATGTGATAACATCTATAAAAATATTTAAATTATATCCGAGTTTCCACCTCTCAAAGTGGAAAAATAGCACAAAATTATATAAAAAATCATAATTTTCGTTTTATTATGTGGGCGTAAAATGAAATTTCCACTTCCGATAAAAAGATCGCAATATTTTGTGAATATCCATGGGATAGCGAATTCCCATTAACAATTGTTTATTAATTTCATAAAATAAGAGGAATATAGATGAGATTCAGATTTTTCTCACAAAAATAGGCTCTACTGCTATTGTAAGTTTTGCTTTTTCTTACCAGACATCCTTTACTTCTAATGAGTAATTATGAGACATTAAATCGCTGAGTTGTAATCGCTATAAAACGCACCAAACCTACAACACAGCATTTAAATTTAACTAGATTCTAAATTTAATATAAGACTTTTTCATGCTGCGTCTCGGTTTTATGCAAATTAAAAAAGAATTTTCAGCAAAAACTGAACGATAGATTGCTAGCTTAGGTTTTATTTTAAAGAAGAAAAACTCGGATTTATTTAACACGTCATTGCTCTTGTGTTCACTTTCCCGCTTCGTCCGTGACATTCAAGTCCAGGAATCCGAGACCTGGAATCTTCCCTTGATTCCTGAGTGCGGAAATGCCCTGGTTCCCACCATGGCTGCACTCAGAAAAATTATAGGGTCAAATCGACCAAATAATGACACATTTTCTGCACGTAGCAACGAAACGCCCTATTCCCGGACGAAAATGAGTCACAAGGGTGATAAGTGCTTCGCTGTGAGGACTGTCCCATTAATTTTTCTGATTGATATAGGCTGAAACGAAGTGTCAAAATAAAGAGATAGAAAATTCGCCCCATTGAATTTAAGTTAAAATCATGAAGTTTATCTTTGAATTAAATTCTAATTAGAAATGGAAGTGAAAAAGTACTAACTATTAATCACTACGAGAATATAATAGATGATCGTGACCAAAGAGTTTGAAAAATTCTATCCCGCACAATGGCATCATAATAATCAGGTGCTAATTACTATCAAAACCTGCGGAAATACAAGTAGCGGCCTAAGTATTATATGTAGCTGTCTAATTATTATAATTAGCGTCCTAAATAATATGATTAGCAGCCTAGGTTTTATAATTAGTGACCTAAGTATTACAAGTAACTTCCGAATTCTCGTCTGTGATTGGTGGATTTAGTTTAAAAATCCCGCAGTGATTGGCTGGCAAATTAATGAACTCGTAACTATTTTTTATAGTGTGGGCCTCCATGAAAGTTCATAAGATCATAAAATATCAATAATAAAGCTAATATGGTTTGTGGGGTGCCGCGACCTATGCTCTATCACGCCTTAGCGCAGCATCCTGTCGAAAGTCCTTGTCGTTAGAGATGTGCAATATCCTATGTTGTTTATTGCATTAAAGTTTAGGTTATTTTAAAGTGCAACTGTTGCATTAAAGTTTTGGTTATTTTAACGTGCAACTGTTGCATTAAAGTTTAGGTTATTTCAACGTGCAACTGTTGCATTAAAGCTTAGGTTATTTTAACGTGCAACTATTGCATAAAAGTTTAGGTTATTTTAACGTGCAACTATTGCATAAAAGTTTAGGTTATTTCAACATGAAACTATTGCACTAACGTATAGGTTATTTCAACATGCAACTATTGCACTAATGAACAGGTTATGTCAGCGTGCTATTCAACACTTCATCGAGAAATATATAGTGCGTCGTGGCGGACGCGTTGAGTTAATTTAACAAACAAATTTGCTTACTATTGGAATTGGGTTTCAAAATCAGTCTGCGTCCTATCATTATATCTTATATTTTTGATGTAAAAAATGTGCCTACTCCTATCACCTTCAGAGACGATTTTATTTCAATATGTTCAGCATAATGATTCATCAATTAATTTTAAAATAAATGTAAATTAATCTTTAATTTTAAATTTCTGCAACAAATAATGTTTATGACAGCACTGCCCACAATAAATATTATTTAAAGCAACAATATGCACAACATATAACGTTCAACACATCAATGTCTACACCATATAACGTTCAAGACATTAATGTTTACAACAAATAACGTTCAAGACACCAATGTCTGCAACAAATAACGTTTAAGTTACCAATGTCTGCAACATATAGCGTTCAAGACACCAATGTCTGCAACAAATAACGTTTAAGACATCAATGTCTACAACAAATAACGTTCAAGACACCAATGTCTGCAACAATTAACGTTTAAGACACCAATGTCTACAACATATAGCGTTCAAGACACCAATGTCTGCAACAAATAACGTTTAAGACATCAATGTCTACAACACATAACGTTCAAGACACCAATGTCTGCAACAAATAACGTTTAAGACACCAATGTCTACAACATATAACGTTCAAGACATCAATGTTTTGCAACAAACCTCGTTCAAGACATTAAAGTTTAGAACAAATAACGTTCCAAACATTAATATCCACAACAAATAACGTTTAAAACATCAATGTCTTACAGAAATAACGTTCAAGACATCAATGTCTTACAGAAATAACGTTCAAGACATCAATGTCTACGCTGTCATTTCTAAGACTCAAGCTCCAGGACACTGCAGAATTTTTCCGCGCCTGTGTTCCCCCCACAAAGCCATCCTCGAGCCAATGATGAGCTACCAAAAGCAATGATCTTAAATCACTTCGAGTGCGGACATCTTTCATGTTCCGACCGAAAAGGCAGCCATTCTCCATGGAGTTCAGCTTCCATTTCTGAGAGTTCAGTTCGTTCCCGTTTCTATTCTTCGTTGACCGCAGAAATGACCATTTTAATTTACTGTAAAAAGGGTCTTGGTTAGTAGCTTGTTGTCGGTTCCCAGCTAGGGGCCTTTGGGTAGCGCCATGTTTTTTTAGCTGACTAAAGAATTAATGTTTGCAGTAAATCTTGCAAAAATTTTTTTTAGAAATATGTATATTCACATAAAATAATAAGCATTGGATGGTTAAATTACCTTATAAATTAAAATCGAGGTTTTCAGTTCGGTTTACAGCTAGAGGCCTTTGGGTAGCGCCATGTTTTTTAGCTGAGTATAGAATTCATGTTTATTGTAAATCTTGCAATTTTTTTTTTTGAGAAATATATTCACATGAAATAATAATCATTGGAGGGTTAAATAACATAATAAATAACAACGAGGTTTTCAGTTCATTTTCAGAAGGATTTCTGTGAATGAATGATTTTTATGTATAGTTTAGGTGATCCGTGGTATATCCAATATGATAGTTTATAATAGATCCACTCTTAATAGTTTGGGAGATCCAAAACCATAAAATAATAATTTTAAAATTTAAGTTCCTATTGGATGAAGACAATATTTTTAGTTCAAGCAAACGTATTTGAAATTAGTGTTCATTAATAAATTATTCTGCTTCTCTTCAAGCCACCACTTAATTTTTTGCACGTTTAATCTGTTATTTGAAAAAGAATATATTCATCAAAGCTGTTCTGATTTTCTCATGTCTTCTCTTTGATAACGCTGCGTGTTTAATTGAGAATGAAGATAGGAGAATCTTTTTTCGCTAATCTTCATTGAGAATGAAGATTCAAAAATACTATTGTTGCGACTAAATAAAAAATCATGATATTTTTTTCGAATGAGCCAAATTATTGTTGTTCATTCAGTTATCTATGAAATCTTCTAGTCTTTGTGAAATGCTTACCGCATAATCCGTTGACATTTTTTTATATTCTTACTTACACTTTTTAACATGGAACAGTTATCGATATTATTAGATTTTCTTTAGTACTTGATATTCGGAATATGAGCCATTTACAATGGCTCATATCTCAACAATTTTTCAAATTCTGGACATTTGTCCCCATTGAACCCTAGCGCCTAATATTCACAAATATTACAAATTATCTTATTCCTACTTCCTAGTCTTACATCAATGTGAACATTTTTAATTTTAAATGAGACCTGAAATTATAACTAGTGTTCACACAGGAACTATATTTCCTTTATATGAGCGAATTAAATGCAAATGAATATGCCAAGACTCTAGTCTTAACATCCATAACATTAACCGTTCTTAATTTCCCCGAATTAACGCTCTTCCAAATGATCTTCGCTTATTACTACAGGCATAAATTATAAACTGCCACCATCATTTTTAGGGAATTTTCGTGGACTTTCCCATATTTTGTGCTCTGAGAAAAATGAACGCATCATTTTGTCCAAAAAGTGAACCACTTTCTTAAACACTGCATGGGCAGAGATCGGAAATAGCGCAGATACGCTCTTTTATTGGGTCAAACTTGGTTATTATGGTCTATACAAGGATAAAAAGTGCATCACTATTTAGAGAATGTCTCACTCATTTCTTTGAGTGTGAGGATGTCTTAAGACTCCTATCACGAGCGTGACTTTAATGAGGCATTTCAAGACGGTTAATTCTGCTTCGCCTTTCAACGTTAGTTCATCATAACCTTCAGCCTATGATTTATGTTCAAATAATAAACCTTTTTAGGATAAAATTCGCTAAAATTCATCATCCCTCAGCGCTGGAGGAATGAGGTTTAATTATCAATACTATTCACCTCCATCAAGCTTATATTGATTTAATTTTTTGATGTCGTAAATGAGAAAAATTCATTCTTTCATTAGCGACGAAACAAGCGTCGTATTTTAACTTTCCGCCTTGTCATTCTCTACCTTCCTTGTAACTACTTAACATTTTTTATTCCTACTTAACATTTTTTGTTCCTACTTAACATTTTTTGTTCCAACTTAAAAATGTTTGTTCCTACTTAACATTGATGTTCCTACTTAACATTTTTCGTTTTTACTTAACGTTTTTTGTTCCTACTTAACATTTTTTGTTTCTAGTTAACATTTTTTGTTCCTACTTAACATTTTTTGTTCCTAGTTAACATTTTTTTGTTCCTACTTAACATTTTTTGTTCCTACTTAACATTTTTTGTTCCTACTTAACATTTTTTGTTCCTACTTAACATTTTTTGTTCCTACTACACCTGCATGAATGTGAATTATTCACCTGCATGAATGTGAATTATTCACCTGCATGAATGTGAATTATTCACCTGCATGAATGATTTAACATGGGCCAGTGGGTATCCTACTTATTCATTGTAAACTATACAATGTGCAAAACCTATTGATAATCTATTTTAAATTTAAGTGATGTGCAAGAGACCGACGAACAATATGCCCCATTCATTATTCTGAGAGTAAATGTCATAAATCCATAAAAAATTTTCAGCAATAGGCCCGTAGGCTTATTAGCATAAGCTGCCACCGACATAATTAGAATATTAACAAGTGGACCAAGTTACCGAAAAGTTACCTGTCGCTTTCCGCTAACTGGGTCAACCTGCTTAATGAGTTGTACACTCAGAAAAATGTATGGGTTATAGTGTCCAAATAATGACACACGTGCAGCGTGTAGCACTGCATGTATGTCTTATTTCCGGGCCAAACTGAGTCATGTTGATCCACATAAGAGCAAAAGTACATCGCTATTTGGACAAAGTCTTCAGCTTTAATTACTTTGCTTGAATGAATTACTTTGCTTGAATGAATTACTTTGCTTGAATGAATTTCTTCAGCTTTGATTACTTAATTTGTCTAAGTTTGTGCTCACGTTCTGCTCTTCAGTTTTTCATTCATTTTCTTTCTTCATTTATTTTTTCTCATTTTAATTTTCGGCAATTAAGTTTGCTCTACGGAAGCTAGGGCTTATTACCATGCTAAAGTTTTACATTATAAAAAAATATTAAAAATTAAAATTAAAGTTTCATGCACCTAGTGATTTAATCCGACTATTTGCGAACAGTAATCTTATTTACATACCTCTTCATATCATGACATGAGCAAACTCTGTTATTTATTCATTTTCTATTTAGACTTCCTAATGACACGCAATAACAATTCTCATTTTTTATAGCTCAATGTTTCTTATTCCTCCGGTCAATTACTGCAATTCAATCATAATCTTCATGTATCCTTAAAGCTCTAAATTTCACATCCTGCCGTGCCACTCCATGCAATTTAATCATAAACGGAGCTTATTTTTAATTAAGTACTTACGCTCTATTTTCTTGTCTATGATTGGTGGATTTTGCTTGAAAGGCCGTCAATGATTGGCTGATGAACTTACGATCTCAAAAACTTTTTTTGAAAGTATAGGAGTTAAGTTGAAAAAGTTAAGAGATCGTAAGTTCATTAGCCAATCATTGACGGCCTTTCAAGCAAAATCCATCAATCGTAGACAAGAAAATAGAGCGTAAGTATTTGCGTTCACTTAGCGAGTTTTGAAAATATACGCCCAGTTGTCCAAGAAGCTAAGTTCTCAATATTATTCTCTTTATTTAAAGTTTGTTTCATTTGCAGGCCTTCGATATTTGGGTTCAAATTCTTCTTCGAGGCTCCGATTTCCACGTCGCAGAGGCGAGAAGACGACCGCATGACGTACATAAACAAGGGACAGTTCTACAGCATCACCATGGACTATGTTGCGGACCCCGACAGACCACTTAAAAGCAACACAGTTAAGGTAAGAAGTATTAATATAATTTAATAATATCCTATGTTATTGACATAGATCACTATAATTTTTCAGACACCGACAGACCACGTAAAAGCAACACTGTCAAGGTAAAATTATTAATATAATTTAATAATATCCTATGTTATTGGCATAGATCACTATTATTTTTCAGACGCCGACAGACCACTTAAAAGCAACACTGTCAAGGTAAAATTACTAATATAATTTTAGTATTATCCTATCTTATTTTCATCCTGCATCACAACGTTGCAAAAATTAACCTACGATTCTAAAACAATTCATAAATGCAATACCATCATATTTTATTCAATGATTATTTATCTTTGTTATAAGTTAATATTTATATTTTCAGTGATGTAAATCTTCCTTTCTTATTTCCAACGCGCTTATTGTGCGTTCCTGACGACGTTACATTTTCTCGTACATAAATCAACGCGGTTATTTATCAGCCTCATAACAGTAAATAAAAACTTTCTGTTTTATCTATTAAAACGTTTGTTTCTATAGTTGTTATTGCCGTATAACGTCATTGCTGTATGACGTTAGTATCCTATAACGCCATTGCTGTATGACGTTAGTATCCTATAACGCCATTGCTGTATGACGTTAGTATCCTATAACGCCATTGCTGTATGACGTTAGTATCCTATAACGTCATTGCTGTATGACGTTAGTATCCTATAACGTCATTGCTGTTTGACGTTAGTATCCTATAACGTCATTGCTATATGAGGCTAATATCATATAACGTCACTGCTGTATGACGTTAGTATCCTATAACGACGTTGCCATGCGCCGTTATTACAATATTTATAGCTAGAGGTCTGAGAAAGCAATGTTAATTGCACTATAAACAACAACAGCTAATCAGGAATAACATCACAACGTCATTTGTTCTCTGTGAGTGCAGATGTTTTCGTCCGTAATTATTGAAGAACTAAGTGCCATGTAAAGACGAATATTTACTATCCATTAGTTGTTAGAAATTGTTTTAGATAAAAAAAATTATGAGGTTCGTTGTTATATTTTACGCGTTTTACAGAAACAAAGAAATTCTTTCCATATTCGGATTAAATTAATGACTAAAACATTTTAAAACATGCCTGAAGTACTAACGAGTCTAATTAGGAGTCATTTCCAGTAGTAGAGACATAATTACTACCAAGATCTAGCACAAAATAACTCCAGTTTGAAAATTTGCCTGGAATTTCTGCCTCTCGTCGAGGGAATGTTTTGCCATTTATAAATATCTAATATGGGTATGATCCTCGACCAAGATCGAATTATTGGCATTATTCCGACAATTATCATTGTCAATGGACGACCAGATGTTCAATAACTGGCCAAAAATTCAATATAATAAATACGTTAAATTTCATATATCGTGTTTTTTTTCAAAAGAAGTAAACTTTAAAACGGTTTTTTACGTAATTGAACAAAATTTGGGTGCTGTGGCTTTTTATGAAGATTTCAACGTAGGGCTTTTGACATAAGTACTATTTTTAGCCGGATTTCTTGTCGATCAATCTGCGGAAACATTTATTCATATAAGTATTATTTAGTCGGTGTTATAGGCTAATTTACTGCATACATTACACTGCAATGTCGTGCTTAGTTGATGCAGTGTAGAAGGTGCGCCCAGGGTGCTAAAACAACACTGACAACACTGACAACACTGACAACACTGACAACACTGACAACACTGACAACACACTGACAACACTGACAACACTGACAACATTGACAACAGTGACAACAGTGACAACATTGACAACACTGACAACACTGACAACATTGACAACACTTACAACACTGACAACACTCACAACACTCACAACACTCACAACCACTGAGAACACTCACAACACTGACAACACTGACAACACTGAGTGAAGCCACAAGAAGGCATCAGTGTTGGATTACGGAGACTCGGTCACAGGGCTTGGGTTACGCGAGATCTCGGCTGTCATATCGCGTGATCTGAACACCTCAGGCAAATGACGTTGAAACAACGCTGATTGCGTGTTGATTTCGTTGAAATAGCGTTGATTGTGAGTTGATTTCATTGAAATAGCGTTGATTGCGAGTTGATTTCGTTGAAATAGCGTTGATTGTGAGTTGATTTCATTGAAATAGCGTTGATTGCGAGTTGATTGTGAGTTGATTGCGTTGAAAAAACGTTGATTGCGTTGAAACAATGTCGATTTCGAGTTGATTACGTTGAAACAACATTTATTTCGAGTTGATTGCGTTGAAACAGCGTTGATTGCGAGTTGATTGCGTTGAAACAACGTCAATTTCGAGTTTATTTCGTTGTGACTTTTATATCCTGACTAGTAACTCTGACCAAAAATTACTCTGATTGTGAATCTGCCTGCTGATTTGATGCCGAATTCACTTGCTTGTGAACCTGCCTTGGCAATCTAACGCAGAATTATCTTGATTACGGACTAGCCATGTTAATATGATGCAAAATTATAATAGTTATAGAACAACCATGATAATCTAATGCAAGATTATAATAATTATATGCCAAATGATAATCTAATACAAACTTACAACAATTATCTACTAGCCTTGTCGATCTAATACAATATTACCTTGATTGTGAGTAGATTCGTCGTTACTTTCACCGTACAAACAATTCAAGTTCAACTCAGCTGACAAGTTTACATCCATCGAAGATATTTTTTCTACCTATTTGTAAAGTGAAATCTATACACTAATATTCCCTAGATACATTATTAGGTATTCTACTAGGTGACATTATTATTTTTTTTAAGTGTTGAATGCTAATATTTTCATTCGTTTGAGATTATTTATCAGATTAAATTTCACGTGTGGACTTGTTCCAAATGCACATCAACAACAAAGACTTTTAATGTTTGGTTTAATTATTTTTAAGAGCTCTAAGATAAAAAAGCTTAAATAATTATGGGACAATATTAAGTTGAATAATAATGCTTTTTGAAGCAGATGAGTAATGTGTGGTAGTCTGACAGTAAAAATTTGTTATGAACTCTAAATACAATTTCAACGCTTCAAAATTGATAGTTTAAAATATTAATCAGATAGAAATAATGCAAGTTCAAAAATATTAAATCCAATACAATAATAAAAATAATTGATATATGCAACAATAAAGAAGCTAAATAAAGCACAATACTGTATTGAACTTATATAATGCACGAAAATATCAATCATGTTTTATAATACAACAATAAACATGTTAGACAAAACAAAATACAATATCAAACATACATATTAAAATAATAATAAACATAATAAATGCAATGCAACAATAAAGAAGTTCAATCAAACGCATTTCCACCTAAAATATATTGTATTCAGTACAAGATTAAACTTACGACATACAATACGATGATAGACAAGATAACGAACAGCTTGCTTGCTTTCACCAACAATCGCTCATGGATGCAGACGTTATATTGGTCATCAATTCATGATTCTGCCGCTACAAGTCTGTACATTTTTAGTACCTCTGGAGAACTGAAGACCTCGAGGATTATAATTAAGGCTTTTATCTCGGAAATTTTTCTGGCTTTATCGTAATACCGCGGAAAAGATTTTGCATTGTCGCTATGGCCGCGAATATGGCCTATAAACAAGCGCTATAACAACGCCCCCTAGCGGAGACGCTTATTAACAATAGATCGTTTGAACGATCGCGAAAAAGGAGATAAGAATTTTTATTAACATTCGATTGTTCAGACGATCGCGAAAAAAAGAAGATAAGAATTCTTATTAACATTCGAGCGTTTGGATGATCGTGAAGAAAAAGCTCTGAATTCTAATAAACATTCGATCGTTCAGACGATCGTGAAGAAAAAGTTATGAATTCTCATTAACATTCGATCGTTTGGATTGATCGTAAAGAAAAAGTCATAATTCTAATTAACATACGATCGTTGGGATGATCGTAAAGGAAAGTTATGAATTCTTATTAACATTCGATCGTTCATGCAGGCGATCGTGAAGAAAGTTATGAATTCTCATTACCATTCGTTCATTGGGATGTTCGTAAAGAAAAAGTTGTGAATTCTTATTAACATTTGATCGTTGGAACGATAGTGAAGAAAAAAGTCATGAACTCTAATTAATTTACCTAGGCTCATATCCATAGCAGTCCCAATTCCAACAGACTTATTGGCTTTACAGTCTTCAAAAATTGTTGTTAACATGCGATCGTTGGGACGATCGTGAAGAAAAAATTATGAATTCTTATTAACATTCGGTCGTTCGGACGATCGTAAAGGAAAGGTTATGAACTCGGCTCAGAAAGTTCGCTTCTCTCCATGGTTAATAGCGCATCGTGTAGGCTGATGAGCGGAATTTTAGGCTTTTTGTATTATAATTAACGAACACTTCTTTAGGCTTTGTAATTTGATGACATTGACGAGAACGACGTGTATATTTTGTGTATGGCAATTACCGAACACTTGTTCCAATGTACCGGCCGCTTCTAGCGATGTCTTATCAGCCCTACGATGTGTAGGTAAGCTCAGTATGCGTGCGGCTTACAATCAAAGAACACAAGTAAAGATGGAGCGTAAATTTAAATAAAAATTATTTAGATAATGATATAGTATACTTGTATCGGCCCTCAAGAAATAGGCCCGTGACCTGGCACCGATTCTTGGTACCAGATCTTTTCAAAACTGATGCTGGTTTGAAATAGCTACTGGACTTTTACCAGGTCCGTAAGGTGCTAGGCATGTCTAGTCTCAACATGCATGTATGGATGAATAACTTTATTTAATTGGTTCTTGATTAACGGGAGGTTCTTTGTTTAATTGGTTCTCCCGTCTTCCTTGACAAAAGGAAGACGGGAGAAATAATTTCACGAGGTGGCGATGTAAGTGTATATTCGTATTGAAGATGAGTATAGAAGGTCGAGAACAGTGAAATTTTGGAATGACGCAATGCATTAACATTGACGACAAATTTTATTTTAATTCAAGGAG